GATGAGTATCGGATTGATCAACCAAACTTGTTTTGCACATTTTCGACGATAATCAAAAAGGGGTGGAAATACATGGAAATGTTATCTTTTTTCCGCCTCATTTTGATGAATTTCGAACATGGATCGAACATGACCTTATGTGAGTCGTCCTGGTTTAATCAATGACTGTCAACTTCCTGCTCGTATTTCTTTCCAAGACTTGCCATATTTATTTTTTTCTACGGATGGCGAGTTTCAGACACAAGGAACAGCATTTTCTGTCATATTTCGTGCTTGTTTCAGAGAACATAAAAAAATTCATCGATAACAAAATTGTGGCGGCCCGTGAAATTGCAAGTGTCTAAAAACAGAAAACGAGGTTCAGTTATGATTTACTTGTGGAAATATTATGGATGAAGATGCTAAAAAGAAAAAATAAATGTAAATGATTCAGGAAATGCAGTAAAATGTGAATCAAAATAAAGTGAATCTCATGTTTGAGGCATCTTCGGAGCAAGTGAATTCATAGATTTATAATCGGTGCTCCGCGGAGCCCAAGGGGCTTCATCTGGAGTTTTTGGGGGGCTCCACGGTTGCCACACGGAAATAAAAATTTAAAATAATTCGGACAAATTAGAAAAATATCCAGAAAATTTCTATATATCCATATAATTGACTCATGAAGAAAACAGCTCATGAAAATTTGTAAAAAAGGTGTGTCCATGACAAATGTATAAATTAATACGTCAAGGAAAATTTTTTTCTTGGAGCTCCACCAACACAGTGATTTATCTTTACAAGTAGGATTATTACTTTGATCAAAAATTGGTGGAATTTCTTTTTCAAGTGAGCGTATCAAATATTCAAATTGGAATTTCTTTAATTACCTTTTGGGTCTCCTTTAATGACGGAGTACCATTTTGGTCCATATCCTGTATAATGTCAGATGAAAACATGACTTACCTTCTCGTCAGGCTGGTTTTGCTTGTGTTATTGCGATGTCGATAAGTTCTGAAGGATTCCGTGAATCCAGAATCTTCGGTTCCATCAGCATCCTCCAGCTGATACACGTTGGCTAACATGTGACCATGTTTGTCACGAATCCCTTAATCACGGCGAAAAAAATGAAGAAATAATAAAAATACATTTAAAAATCACAAAATATTTTCAAAACTTTTCTTCATTTTTGAACTCGGAAAATCCGCTCAAGCCAGAATTAAAAAAAATCGTTTCAACGAAAATATAAAAACGGCCGTCAACTTTTCTCCCGGAAATCGAGAAATTCATCAATTAAAAGCAAGCTTTCGTTTGTTAAAGTTCATTTATGCTGTTGATGACAATATTGCGATGCTTTGATTTTTTAATGAAAATTACCGCGTGACCTTGAAGATCGGGGTCAATTAAAATATTTTATTCAAAGCATCGATTTATTCTAGGCAGGATAAATTTAGACGGGAAATAAATTCCGGCAGCATTTGTTAAATTGAACATTTTGGTTTTGATTTAAAAATATAAATAAACTAATATTCAATAAAGCGCTCATTTGAGAGCACAAAAAAGTGTTTCTCTATGCGTCTGAATAAAGCTAGAAATTATTTCTTAGTAAATTCCTCTTCGATCAATTCCCACCTTTATGTTAATCAACTTATTTCTTTGTCTCAGACATTTTGGTGAAATTCATTAATAAATGTTCAAACGAGGCAGAATTCAAGTCGTTTTGAATTTCAAACTGTAAACGAGATTCTTCGTCGAAGCAATCTTCAAAAATTGCTCTCTTTAAATTGTCTGCTACCGAAAAAGTTATTTTATGATCATGATCGAAAACAGTTCGGAATTTTCAGCAGAAAGGCACAATTTCAACACGAATCCAAATTAATCCACAGAATTCGTTCACGTTAATTACTCGCGAACAAATGATAACCCTTTTTCGAGACATATTTCTTGTTCTCTCGAGAGAAAAAGTACATAGCGAAATCTGCGAAATATATCAAGAAAAGGATTGACCAGCATACAAAAGGCCATCACTGCAGATAATCGCGTCTCCACGTCTTCGCAGAAGGTCAAAGGGATTCTAATCTCACCCCAAAAAAAATCTTTCGCGGAATTAATCGGTTTGCGTGAGTTGCCGAAAGCCACGGAAATGAAGTCCCACTAGAGTTCATTGTGAAACACGTACTTTGTACATTCGAGGGAAATACAGTATTTCCGGGGCTCGAATGTGTCCAAAGTGACCCCCAGCACAACTGAGAGCCACCGAAATGAGCGTCAGGGAAAACTGAGCGCAAAACAATTGAGTTTATTTGTATTTGAAGGGACTTTCGTAGGAGTTTTTTTGAATAAAGCTTTTTTTACAGCAAATTTAGCTCAGCTTGAAGTAAACACTGAATCTGTAGTCTTCGACAATAAATCATGAGAAAAATACCGAAACTTATGAGGGTACATAGGAAATGCCAATAAGTGATAGAAAAGGTCGACGAGTGAAATTGGATCCGTGAACATTAATTCAGAGACGAAAAAAAAAAAAATCTCGCTGGAATTGAAATCAAGTAGCAGTTTATTTATCCGTGCTACTTCTTGAATAATGTTTGCATTCTTGTCGACACAGTACTTATATATATACAAATTTAAGGAATTTAAAAAACCTAGCATTTTCTCAATCGATGCATGTTTTCTCTCTGCCCGGCGTTTTCTTCATCCCGGCATTTTCATCCCTGAGGAATTTTATCGAAGCTTTCAGTGCAAAGAAACAGGATTTCCTTTGGACACTGCAGATTACATCATTTCCCTCAATAAAAAACGCGCGTCATGAATTTGTTTTTGGCAGCTAAATTAAGTGATTGCCAAATGGGATGTTTTTGAACGCACAAAAAAGAGTTCATGAGTATTTCATTGCATGATTGGTAGCTATAGCTTTTAATCACAGCAAGAGAACACTGCCAAAAGTTTGCGCCATTTTTTCTATTATGTTAATGGTGAATTTGAATTTGAATGTGAATCTCAAGACCTCAAACATTTCCAAGGCGAATAATATTCTTTAATTATTTTTCACGCCTCTGTCTGAAAAAAAGTTCCTTATAGAAACAATTGCATGAAAAGCCTCCCTAACTTTAAGGCTTTCCCTTCAAACTTTCGTAACTCAAATTTTCTTGAAGCCTTTTAGAAATTATTTTATTGGCCGAAAAGAAAAATTTAACGATGTGTTCTGAAAGATAAAGACTGTTTTGACAAAAAAAAACCTTAACCTTCAAGTTTTGAATCCTGTCAACTCATTTAAGAATAAGAAATTTAAGGGCCAGTTCATCACCAACTATAATTTTGTATAATTATTCTTTCTCTCGTTAAAAAAATGCTCTTTTTCTAAACTCAAAACTTCCCTATACTCGAAATTTTTTGCTGGTCCCTTGAAGTTGGATTTAAAAAGTTTCAACTGCACTTATTGTGTGATTCGAGGAAATACTATTTATTTCTTCAACTGTCGCTCAATCGAACAGTCGCTCAGCTGACAACTCAATTTTCTACTGCGCTATTTTAAGTTAAAAATAGGTTCACTTCTTGGGGGCCAAAAAAAGTGAACCGCAACTCAATTTGCTGCTGAGCTATTTTCAGTTAAAAATCGGTTCACTTTTTTTTTGGTACACCCTATTCATTGAATTATAGTCCCTTTTAATGTGTCAATTGAAGCATGTTTGATACGCCTTTTATCACTTGAAGGATAGATACCGCCATAAAAAAAATAAATCTTCTGCCTAACAATTAATATGAAGCCTAAATGCAATCTAGAATACAATTTTTTTTAGCTCCAATTGCCAAAAACACTCAAGGCACATTCCAGCCCTATTTATTCATGGATGAGTACACTACAAGGGAATTTTCCATTGAACGCTAAAGACAGCCTTTTTTCACGCAACATGAAAATTTCAGTCTGATCAAAGGTTGCAAAAACTCAGCCATATAGATGAGTACCCAATAAGTCCAAAAATATTGTGCAAGGTTAAACCCTTTCAATTCTGCAAACATTTTTGGACTTATTGCTTTCATGGATTATAAATTGCTGGGTTCTTACTTTTCATTTCAACCCCTTGCGCAAAAGTTTTCTAATATTATCCTCATTTATTTTCTCCTCAAGGGTTTGATATAATACATTTCTTAAGCTTCGACTTTAAAAATCTGCTCTTGTGCTTTTTGCCTGAAAACAAATTTCCACTGCAAAGTAATTTGGAATGCGTGGCATGCTGTGAGATATCCAGAAAACATTTAGAAAAATTGTTACATGCAAACCATCAAGAACCGATGCAATGTGTTGGCAAACAATAACTTCATGTGAACCAGAAAATCACCATCAATCAGCTCCGCGGCAAGTCCAGAAGTTTCTCTAAAAGAATTACAAGATCCAATAATCAATTTAACAATATTCAATGTTCAGACAGTTTCTTTCATCGAACCCAGCAGAAAAAAAATCATGCAAAAATCTGACCAAAAGGGGTATACTTGTTTGAATCAGAATAACTGCAATCCTTTCATAATCATAGACTCAAGGTGGATTATTCGGCAATTTTTTGTTAAAAGCAGGGATTTTCAGTTTTCATCGGAAGGATTCTGAACAAATATATTTGCGTTTCCTTCCTCAGAATCGAAGAAAGTGTACAGAATTAACTTTCACTGCTGCGAAGACGCAGATTTTCATATTTAAATGGGATATTGCTCCCAAAAGAGTCAATGAAACAGATATTATTCACCCCGACAATTAAACAGTAATTCGACATGTATGTGCAATTTCAATTACTTCAGAAAAACTTTTCCAATGGGTACTGAATTTTGGTCATCTAATATTCTAATCAGTCTACCAAACAAACTAATTCTTTTTTTTTCAGAAGTGTAAGTTCGTCTGAAAGTTAAATTCAAAGCACACCTTCCGAATTGACAATAAGTCATATCTCAATCTCGAAAGTCCAATTGAATTTTCGACTCAGGCACAATCTATACTATCTGCAAATTTTTGCAGAGCACCCTAGCTATGCTGCCTAAATTTCTGCAAATCCCCTAGCGTCACCTTGTGGATTCAGAATGCCCAATTCGTCTTTCCCGTGGCTCTGCAAAGCTGCCAATTTCCTGCGTCTCACTGCGGAGTTTCCAGTTAAACGAGGAGTTGCTTTGGTGAAAAACGCTGTCCATCTGGCTTTTGTGGAATAAAGAGGCGATGCGAGGACTCTGCTAGAAGATGAAATTCGTCTAGACGATTTGGTTCCTCGGCGATTTTGGCCTGGATGAACGTCATCTGCAATGAAGGACAATTGCTTGCATGAAAAAAAAATCACAAAAAAATTTCCGATGCAAAGAAAAATCAGCAATTTAAAATTATGCCAGCTCTAAGACATCTTTCATCTTTTTTTAAATTTTGAATGAATCAAGCAATGAAGCGATTAAATTTAATCTTAAAAGAAATTTATAAATTCTACCATACATTACATATACATTTTAAATTTATGGATTTCATCTTCTTAAATTTCTGTATTTTCGTCAGATTTTTCGAAACAAACCAAAAATGTTTCCAAATGATCAATACATGTCAGGTTTTTCAGTCTGAAAGTCGGTTCGCAAACTTTTTTCCGGTAAATTTCACTGAAGCTCTTTAAAAATATGCGTTTCTTTCAAAATCCAACATTTATTGGAGAAGCCTGATGTCGATAACAAGACTTTTAAAGTGCGAACAATTTTTTTTTATATTTCTAATACAGTCATATGATTAAATGTTCGGCAACTTCTTGTTCATCACTTCACAATAAATAACATCACGAAAACAAAGATTGACAAGACAAGAATCACAGTAGTCACAGACATGATTAGCAGTTCAGAAGATTCACATTTTTTAATAACAGGTGGCTTTTAAATAAACTCTCAATAAGGCATGCAAATACGGAGTCTACAATTTATTTTTAGCCAGTGCTGACGGGTTGAACTTTCAACGTATTCATCTTTTATCCTTTATTTCAGCCGGAATTGGAAAAAAATTCCAGAATTGTCAGGTGATGAAGTACAGCATATTAGTTTGGAGGAAAATTTCTTGCTACCTCAAAAATTCGTCAACAAAAAAGTACGGGACTGTCAAAACCGATTATATATGAAGCATCCTCCGAATGTTTTTCTCCGCCAAAAGTTGTCACTGAAATTCAATATTGCTTATTTGCTTTCATATTGAAATTCACCGTCGTGGAAGAAAATTTCGAACAAACCGTCGTCAGTTGGAGTTTCGTTGCCGACCCAAACAACTTTGCTACCGTTGGTCCGATTTGTTCCCGTCGATTTAAAATCTTCATTTTTGCTGCTAGTTTCAATGGGTCGTAGAAAAGGTCTTCCTCTGGTCGATGGAAGTGATCCTGAGATGACCTGATTGTTGCTGAAGCCCGCTGCAACACGTTCATTCCAGGGACAAATTGTGTTTAGCAAGTGCAAAATACACTCAAACTAACACAAACACACACACACACACACGAATTCACACATGTGTCAGAGATTTTTGCGTAGTGTCACGATTTTATTGGCAAACACGCATTCGTTTCAATCGTGTTCTGAAAATACTTGGTGCATTTGATCACGCACACACAGAAAATTGCAAATCACGTGCCGATATTAAAATTCCTAATTTTTTTGCATTGACTCATGCAATCTCACAGATTTTTTTGGCATATTCCAGGATCTTAAAAAGTCTTGAAATCGAAATGGCATCAATTCCAAGGGCTGCCTCCAGGTCTTCCAGAGTACAATATAAATCCGCCATTTTCATCAACAGCCATTTAGGATAACTCTAAGGGGTCGCCATTTAGGATGATAATGATCGTTTTTCAATTCAATCCTATGCCATTTCAGTTTTTATTCCATTTACTTTTCTTAGACCCCTTGCACATCATCAACTTAAAAAGCTCAATGAAATTTCCAAAATAAAAGAAGCATTATTTCAAACAGCGAGTTCTCGTCTTTCCATTTCATTCCACTTATGCGGACAAAATGTCACCAAAATAATTTGATGTCCAGTGCTGATAAATTAAACACAATAATCAGTTCAGGACAGGACTGGGGAACTCAATTCAGGAATTCCTAGTTTAAAGGGATACATGTATTTCAAAAGGTATAACTGAATAAAACAACTCGATTGAACTCAACTTGCAGGAATAACTGGAATAAATTGAGTAACACAACTGAACTGACCTGATCTGAAGATGATAATGAAAAAGAGCTGCTTATAAACTATTCATTATATTTAACCTTCAAAAGGTTTTACTTTCATAGTCAGAGCAAGAAAAGATATGGTCCAGTATGCTGGGGTACCAGGATGTTCCTGGCACTGCAATTTTGAGGAGGGGGGAAATACTTTTACTTCCTGGAATTGATTATTTTGTACTGGTGCATGCCCAACAACTTCAGACCATTTTTCAAACTTCTTGGGATTTTTTTTCAATGGACAGCAGTATTTTACCTCCGAGAAAATTGAAGGGCTTGACAATACGGCTCCAGCAGTCAAAACGAGTCTCGTATATATATTGCACATTTTATAAATCAAAATTTGTGTTGTTAAGAATTTAAGTTTTAAGTTTTCTGAAGGTCAGAAAAGACCTTCCAGGTGGGCTGAGGCAAAGTTGGGATTAATCCAATAAAAAGCCCATTGCTTAGCATAGGATTTCTTTCATTTTCCCACAAAATTTTTCTGTGCAAAAAGAAAAAAAAATTGGATTTTTCCCCAACTTCATCCTCAAATCCCATTTTCTACCCTGAGATGAGCAGAAGAAGAGGGATGCCAACCTGAAGAATCTGTGTCAATTGTTCAACAGGCACAAAATTAGTCTGGAAAAATTTTCAAAGGAAACAGCTAAAGCAGTGAAACTGAGATACAATTAATAATTTTTTTATTGCTGATGTGGCTTTTTTTACATTTTTTGTTTTTTTAAATTTTTACTTTGTGTCTTTTTTTCAAATTTTACATTTTTTTCATTTTTATGTTATTTTAATTGTTATTCAATTATACTTGTTAAATTCAATTTTTGTCACTCAGAAATAAGAAAAACAATTGTCCAACCATCAGTTTTTTTTATTTTCGGGGGAAATTGTACATCTGGGATTTTTATTATGGGGGATTTCAACAAAAAGCAGGGAAATTAAAATCGGGGAAAATAACACTTGGGGATTTTAAAAATCGGGCATTTTAATTTTGAGGATTTTTGTGACCCGGGATTTTAAAATCGGGGATTATTATTCGGGGGAAATAGAGGCGGGGGAATTAGAATCGGGGGAATTGTCCTACACCGGTAAAGATCACATGGAATTTTCTCTTACGCCAAAAATTCATTCCTCATCGCGCTGGTCACATTCGTTTTTCTCCTCTTCTTTTTTTTTATAAGGGCTTGAGAGACCTGAGCACTTTTCGTCAAATAAGTGTAAGTGGGAATATAATACTCGAGGAATAATAGCGTGATACCATGACCGTATAAAGTCCCAGAAGCAGCTGAAACCCCCCAGGAAGCACATAATATGAACACATTCGTGCGACTCAGGCCGGGTCACGCCATCCATGACCCCGGTGTTGCTTCCGCTTTAGCAAAATATATCCGTAAACACTGGTGATGATGCACGAAAATGTAGGTCCAGGAACCATCGTGGCTGAGGTAAGAATCAGAGCCTTCAGCAGCTCGGGGGGTTTTGGCAAATGAATGCACATGTGACATATATCTTTGTTGTGGCAGAGAGAGAGAGACAGAGCTTTTTAGACTCGTTTTTCTGCTCATTTTTGAAGGGTGAGCATGCCTATATTTACATGGTGTGGGTTTTTTGAGAAAAGTGGGTGTAGATTTCGAAATCTGGATAAGGCATATCTCAAGTACCTTAATTAGTGTGCACCTTCCCCTGCACTTCATACCCGAGGTACTGTATACATTTTCAGAAAATGCTAGAAAATTATATACTCTAGTTGTGTTGCGTGTCACTTTTGAATATGAAAGGACATTTTTTCATCGAAACAATTACAATATCAGTTGAATTTAGGATGGATTCATGTCCAAATTTGAATGCTGATGCATCTTATGATTGAAATATTAGTTTACAGTTATTCATCAGTTACTAAAAACGGGGTGCGCATCTTTACTTGGGGACACGATTTCATCAAGATTTTCGGATGAAAAATTAGGGTGCGTCACCTACTGGAGGGCTCCGTAAAAAAAACGAATTCGACCAGAAAGCCAATTTTTAAAAGAACGTTTGCCAATGTGTGTGTCACTTAATGTGACAAATTTTCAATCTTTTCGAAAAATAGGGCATGAATTCGGAATATCTATGAAGTTTGATGACTATGAGTGCCGTTTTTACTTCCCGAAATTTTCGTTTCTCGAAGGTATGGAGAAATTTGTCTGAAACCTTTTGATTTTACAAGCGCTGAATAAATGAAAAATAATCTAACTCAATTAAGTTTTGTGGGTCCCTTTTTAGTTTGACTTTCGGGAATGCCAAAAGGCCCTATAATGTGCCATCACAAGGTGATTTTCTGCATAACCATGACGCATCTTTTGTGGTTGAAATGTATCCTATTTCAGGAGCTTCGGAGAATCTACCTTTCTTTCAAGTGAGTCACAAAGAAAATATTCAAAAACAGAAGTTTAAAGCTAATAATACGTACAATAATAATATACCACAGTCAAACCCCGTCATCAAAATGCCAACCTATAAAAACCCACCCTCATCAGCAACTGCAAATTCATTTTAACAAACGAATCTTTCCTAAATTCAAAAACATTGGGAACCAAATACGCTTCTGTCAATTAATTTTGTTTTTGATACCCTGCTGTAACATGATTCAAGTTTCTCTTCTGTGAAAGGTCTCCAATTGAAAAAAAACCATAGATGACATAATTTACTCTAACGGTGAGGTAATCTAGATTTAATTTACGTGCCTCAGCGTTTCTAGAAGAATAAGGATTTTATTTTATTTCATATCATACATCAATTGTTTATTGCAGTATTTTGGTTTTTTATATGTAAACGAACCTCTTTGAACTGCCGACCCTTTTTAAACCGCCAATAACCTCTTCAAAAAATGGTGATGACTTTTTGAGGTTTGCCTGTAAATATACAGTACCATGTTTTTATAATACGTTGTCATCATGTCCCCAACTGAATCAGTTTGCTTTTCTGGAAACATATTTTAAAAAATACTCATCATTTTAAAATTTTGACCACGCCCAATTTTTCTAACATTATTAGAGAGAAAAAAAGACGCTACTCAACAGTAATCAATGCTGATGAGAACAGAAAAGGGAGTGCAAGCAATACTGTATACAGTATATATATACCCACTAAGCCTTTTTTTTTCTTGCTCCTTGAGACTCTGTTGTGATCATTTCAAGAGGTCTACCCTTTGCGACACACACACTTTTACTAGGAAAGACCTGACCTCGGTTGCAGCTCAACTGGTCATCAAGCAGGATTTGCGTCGGACATGTCACGACAAGTTTACGGCCCAAAGAAGGCGTGTCTTCCATTCGTTTCTTTTTATTATGATTATTTTTCACTAGAAATCCTTCTTTTGAAAATACACACGTTTTCCTAATATTTAAACCGAAGAAAAAAAAAAGAATTTAAAAAATAAAACGAGAAAATACCCGGGACAGAAAATGACCTTCCTGTGTGTTGACCTCGAAATCTTTCTTTGCGTTCCTCTTTTCTGAGAAACATGTGCAAACATTTCGTTCGTCACTGAACTAAATAAATAGCTTTTTGGTCAATGGGAAATTGTGTGTGTCGAAATGGGTGTGAAACGAAATCTCTGGGTATTCATACAAAACGACGGGAGGTGAAAAATGTCTTGATGGGAATTATTGGAGAAATGTTCTGGCATTTTCAAAGCACCTCACTTTTTCCCACCGCGGATTTGCTCTGAAAAGGTACACAATTATACACGTGTTTAAAATATAAATTCACTTGTGCGAAAATAAATTTAGAATGTTTTTCGCAAAGATTTACTTTTTCTTCCCGAACGCGAAAAGGGTTTTTTTGTCGGGTGTGAGTTCGAAACGTTTAGTTTGATTTCTGCGCATAGATTTAATTATTTAAGAAAAATGTTTACTCGCGGTATCGACTTACTCAATTGGCTGTAACCGTAATTGTTCGAAGATGAATTTCTGCCAAATTGGTTGGCATTTTCCATCCCAGCTGTGATCAATTGCCGACGAGACGAAGGCGTCAACGCAGCGGGTTTCACAACGAAAATTGCGGGTTCCGGGTTGAAAGGCGGCACGAAATTCTTCACTTTCAAATAGTGCTCTTGTTGGGGTCGGACCTGGAGAATGTAAGAAGTCAAATATGTCATTTTTAAAATTTTTTGAATCAATGTGAAACTTCTCGAGACTCGACCTGAGTAAAATGTTTGCCCACGCATCTGACGAAAATGTAGGGATTCGGGACTTCGGTCGGACCGAGCTGCAAAGCGATTTCTTTTCTGAAGTTCAGCAAGGTTAAATCCGGCATGGCTCTGAAAAATTAAAAAAGAATGTTTGCAATTCAAAATATGCTTGGTAACGAATTTTTTCTCATTTTTAAAATTCCAATCCGCTGACTTGTAAATTTTTTAGAGGACATCTGTGCATATATGGGCGAATCAATTTTCCAGAACGGAAGACCCCCCTTCCAAAAAAGTTTCTGTTGTGCCAATTTTTTTGTTGCTGCATCTGTGATCAAAATTACGGAACAATTCTTGTGAAGCAAGGTCAGATAACAGTAGGTGGCTGGTGCTGCTGTGACCAGTTTCGATTTTAGCGGTTTTATGCACAGTAAAGGGCCTGGAAGATGCTGGAGACTTTGAGAATCATTGTGTTCGTCCTCAAGCTTATGTTTGCTGTCCAGTTTTCTATTGCGCCATATGAATAACGAGTTTATTTTTAGCAAGAAGTTTGAACACCCTCATATACACTGACTGCTGTGGAGAGCAGAAATTTTGCCTGTGGCTGACAGGTTTTTTTGTGCCTGGCAATTTTATTTTTGACCTGATGCTTTGTTTTGCGCTTTAGCAATTTCAAAGTTTTTGGTTTCCGTTCTTTCCCAGTATAAAAAGGGTGAATTTTTTGTTGAATTCATCAGAATGCTTTTTACCAGCAGCATTTGAAAGTTCCCCCTCATTTGAAATCCTGCTGTTGTCACAATACAATTAGATGAGTCCTCAAACAGGTTAAGAATACCCAATTCTTGAAAACTGTATTGTCTTAAATAATTACTTTTGATGTTAAAGTATATAACTTTAGATGTCTCCAAAGTGTTTTACTTGTTGAACTTGCCATTGTATGTTCTGTAAGCAATTATACTTAGACAATTTCTTCAGTGAGGAGGATTTCTTGTTCCTGTGACTGGGTCAAATGTAATAACTCTTCAAATTCTTATAAAACAGTTTGAATATAGTCTGTATATTCCACAAGATGTATGACAGAGCAATCATCAGCAATACAACAAACAGCACTGAGCACATGCAACAGTAAGAGTTATAGATTTTGCCAGACAGAATTAGGCAATCATGGTCAGACTCAGATCTGACCTTATTCCAGAGAGGGTTGCTTAACCCTTGGTGTGTGACTTGGTGGTGGTGCATGTCCTCAAGGACAAGAAACAGAAAGTACACAGCTGTAAGAAACGTTGTCTGCTATAGACGTGCAAGGGGGCTCCATGATGAAATCCTGTGGGAGAAAAAATCCCGCGGCCCGAAAATCCCATGAGGCCAAAAATCCCGTAGGCCAGAAAATCTAGCATGGTCCAATAAAATCCCTTAGGTACAAAAATCCCGTATGTACAAAAATCCCAATGAGTACTACAAAATTTTAATATTGTCTCTATGGGTTACCCTTCCAACTGTTTGGAAGGAATAAAAATCTGGTGGATTATGAAATTGTGCAAGTGCAAGGCTTATAATTCCTTCCAAGGGTTGTGGAGGTTTAAAGATAATCTTCCTCAATAGAATCTCACCTTCACTTCAAGTACTGTATATTGAATACAGTATTAAGATTAAAAATGTAATATCACTATATATAACTGCGTTTAGACTTTGATATTTATGAATTTTTAAATACTATTACCTTCTGTACTTTTCAAACTAGGTTTTTCTGATATGAAAATTCCTTTTTTGGGATTTTTGTACCTACGGGATTTTCGGACCTTTTGAGATTTTTGGGCCTACGGGATTTTCAGCCGCACGGGATTTTTGGGCCGCGGGATTTTTTCTCCCATGGGGTTTTATCCTGCACCCGTGCAAGGGAATGCCAGAAAGTATTTGATGACAACCTTCACAATCCTAAATTAATCTTGGTAACAACCATAACTGCTAGACCAAATCCATTTAACCATATTGTCTGGTCACCAGTCATTCACTTGCATTTTGTGTACTGGTTTACTTTCTAAAGTATGCATGGTCATATACCTGTCTGGTACATCTGTGAATCTATAAAAGAGTGTACAAACACTCTTTTGGTGCTCATTGCAGGTTTGGCTTGAACTGATGCTGCATTGCTTGGACTTATTAAAATGCTATACTCCAAATTGAGAAGTGAACTCACTTGTTTTGCCCCAGCCATAAGATTAACACTTCTCAACAAGGTTTGTCCTAACAAGTAAGCATCAAAGCAAATACAGTAGAAGGGTTAGAAGCAAAGAAGATATTTGACACATTTTCTTTTAATTTGGTCAATATTTGGCAGTTTAGGATAACAGTGTTGAGAGATGAACTGTTGCAAGGAGTGAATTGCCTTAATTATTCTTCAACCATTGGCTTCATTTTAAGCCCAAGGTCCACTTTCTGTCAAATAAGATTAGCGTTAAAATTGAACAACATGTGTCTTGAAAAAAAATTTCGTATGCTTCATAATATTATGATTTGACCAACAGAAGAAACTCAGACTCGAAGAATTATGCCTTATTTCTGAAAATAATCTCAGATAATATCTTAATTATCTGATTAAAACCCATGTTGGTTGCTTCTTCAAAATCTCTGGAAGTTTCGTCCAAAACAGTTTCCCCACTATCGATGTGTCACTTTTTGGCAGAAATTTTAAATTCCCGAATAATAGGTAAAAGGTTAAAGGTTTTTGGAATCGGTTAAATTTTTTTGCGTTGAATTTTGTACCTGACGAATCCCGAGGAAATTGAGGTGGCAGCAATCGCACTTTTCGCCAGACGCCGAGATCGATTCCATTGATCCTCAGGAATCACGTACACGTGAACGTCCACGAGCTGAAAATAAATGTGGAAAAATGATAAAAGATTTTATATTTATGAAGGGAATGCGTGGAAATATCTAGAAGATTCTTTGTTTATTTCTTATCAAACAGTCGCATACGGACACTGGGATGCGTAGGACTGAAGTCGAAAGTGATGTAACTCATCGTCGCATTCTTCCCCATCATGTTGATCCTTGAATAAAATCAGCGAGTGATCGTTTCTTTGTCCATAAATGCTGACTTTTGGACCGTACTTTCAAACTGTGTCATCATCACCGATGTGTATGACATCTGATGGAGGATTTTTCTAGACGATTTTCCGAAGCACAATTTGATTCGCAACTCTGCCGGTTCGCGGAAATCATCCGGCGAAAACCAAATTTCGTCCATTATCCTGAATTTCTCATTTTTAATACTGTACAATTAGTTTTCCTGTGGACAAAAAATACACATGAATGAAGCTTGTACTGATTTTTCTGGGTTTTATTTCATTCGCATGAGCAGCATTCTGTGATTAAGGCTATACTCCATTCCAGGCGTGATGGAATCTTGTCATCTGCTGATTCGCCTGAGAAAAATTGTGAAGCACAATTATATTCCAAGAATTTCGAGAGTTCTGAGACTTTTGATATTATAATTTGTTTTAAACTGGACTCGGCTGCAAATCAATGTTTTATTGTCTAAAATACTAAGCTGAGAACAGATACTTTTCAACCGGTTAATTTTTCCTGATTATGCGATGCTATCTGGGGAAATTTTCTAGTTTTATTGGGATCTCCTTCAAATGATATCCTGGACAGGAATTTTTGAAAATTTAATTTTTATCGACTGTGTATTGGCTAGTTCAAGTGTAAAGGAACACTTTCTTAAAATATTACGTCAGTCTCTGTGAACACTTGATCTAAATTAATCAGCACCTGGTCCATCAACCATTGCTTCGAAAATTAAATGCTTTTGAAATGTTGACCATGTAGTGCGTGGAAGAAAAATAAACGCATAATATATGCACAGTGCGAATGATAGCATTCTAGAATCATTATGGTTGAAATTATCGTTTCCGATAAAATTCTCACGGGGACTCGAAAAAGTCAACTTGAGAAGGTTCGAGTTATCGAGAGGTTCAACAGCACCAGGAGATCTATAGCAAGAACCTAAAGATGTGCTTATTCATGGAGACTAGAATAGAGTGATTCTTGTGTTAACAACCACCTCGAAAGAGCGAGTCCGTAGAACTGCCTGCTGAGAAAATTTATATAACTGCAGAAGCAGCAGCTCCTTTGGGTCAAGAGAGGTTTCGATCCCAACAAACCGGGAGCTTTATGGTCATTTGAATATTTTATACGGACTCGTGGTGCCGTCCCCGAAACCAGGTCGTTACCGGCTGAATGAATAATTAAAAGCGAAACGTGCGGCGAGAATGACAATACCCCCTACTTATTACTGTACTCGACTGCGTAAGCCGCATTTTTCAATAACAAGTGAAATATTCTCGAAAAGGTGTGGAGTGGTCAGAATATATATATTTTTTCAAAGTACTCTTGCAAATAATAATGAGACAAGTTGTCAGAAGGTCTTCAGAATTTATTGAAAGCAATGTTTCATGCTACATTATCCGCCCTGCCGTCTTGGATTCAAAATGGTAAAACAAGCGTAATATTGTAATATTTCTTGACGATCAAAATATTTTGATCAAAAAGAAAGCATTAAAAGTTCTGAGTGACCGTCGACATTTCTAGAATAGGTGCAGTAACTTAAAAAAAAAAATATATATATATATATATATATATATATAT